CCGGATGGACAGTCCAAGTACCCACCGACCAATCGGAGGGGCAGAGGGGTCAATAGGTCCTCGCGCGCGGGGGCAGAGTTGGTGACACAGCAGTGCCAAGTTGACAAGAAAAAAGCCTCGCGGGGGCTTGCCCAAGATGACCTCCGGGAACTTCGTCCATCTTCCATAAACGACCATGATTTTATTCAACTTATCGAGTATTTTTCAAGGGACCGGGAAAAAATGTTCACTAGATAAAACGATGATTTTGTAATGTAGAAAATTAGGAAAGACAAAATTCAGGATGACACGGCACACAGGGACCGGGAAAAAATGATCACTTTATCGAGAGATTCAAATTTACGAGTTTCAAATTACCAAAATATATCTTTTTTTTTAATAAGTTTATTGAGAATTGTTTTAACAAATGTTCGTTAGACAAACCTTTACTCGGGTAAAACCCGGGCAAAGCCGGGTACATCCGCTAGTGAATAATATATTTAGAGAGTGATAATGATATTGTTACCCAGACGTTTTTTATGTTCTTTGTCGTGATCAGGATGCCACAAAGATACACACGTGAGTTCGAAGGGATGCAGCTAAGGTTATGGCTTTATTATAAGTGACACTAAACAGAAGGAATACAATAAGTGGAACTGGCCTTCAACCTCCCCGTCAGAAGAATCTTTGGCACTGTGGATGTCAGTCTTGTGAAACCTTCCGCTACACACTAAACATGTCCAGCCTGGAATACATCGCCTTGTAGGCCGCTCCGATGTCAGGCTCTCCTGGCACCGTCTCGCAGGATCACCCACACGCCCCGGAGGCAACTCCCCACGTCTTCTACTTGCCGCAAATGTGACCAGACTCTGTCCTCCCCCACACAGGAATGCTGTTTTTGGTGCCTGTCCCCCCTGACAACACATGGCTACCCCTCACTTGTCTTCCCCAAACTTTTTTCTGGAATATTGGCCTTGTCATTCATGTTACAATATAATTATAATAAATAACTTATGTTAAAGCTATATTCATTTGGCAAACATTCACTAGAGAAGAAGCCAAGCAAAGATAATCATTTAAAAATTGTCAGTATATAATAATTATATACACTGCGTGACACTGCGTTATCCTGCTGATAAAGGGCATTGGGTACCCCCTGAAGGTAGGGGAGTGTCACCGGTCGCAGCACATCATCAACGTATCGTTGGGCCGTCATAGTGCCCTGAATACGAAGTAAAGGTGACCTGGAATCATACGCGATTGCGCCCCAAACCATGATTCCACGTTGTCGCACGGTGGGGCGTTCCACAATTGCTGCCGGATTGGACCTTTCTCCACGTCGACGCCACACGCGTACACGGCGACTATCACTCGACAAGCAGAAACGCGACTCATCTGAGAACACGACCCTGTGCCATTCCGTCATCCACGTCGATCTAGCCCGGCACCATTCCAAACGTTGGCGCCTATTCGGTGGGGTCAATGGCAGTCTTCTTAGCGGACGGCATGAGTGCAAGCCATTAGCAACCAATCGACGGGAAATGGTTCTGGTCGAGATGGAATGATCTAGGGTGTCTTGCACATGTTGCAGGATGGCGGTACAAGTGGCTTGTGGGGCCGCCACTGCCTGTCGAAGGATACGCCGATCCACACGTGCTGACGTCACTCTGGTTGCACCGACATTCCTATAAATTGCCACATTTCCTTGTTCCAACCATCTTCTCCACAGTCGGTGCACCGTGGACGCACCAAGGTGTGTATCAGCTGCTATTTGACGTATGGACCAACCTGCCCTTTTCAGTCCGATCACCATGCCCCTCGTAAAAGCGTCTGTCTGCTTGAACTGCCTCCGTTTACGATGACCTGGCATTCTCTGTTATTACACGTGTCTTTTGACACAAGAACAAAATTTCTACAATGATTTTCCTTGAAGAAATAACGACACGAATACTGTCCTTTCTGCAAGTTCCTTCCCTTATATCTTACTCCATGTGCGCACGAGAGCTGCGCATTTTACATCATTTGCATAACTCGGTTAGGCGCGTCTACCCTGAAATTTGCATAATTTTCTGGCCACTATTTCTTGGTGTTCCATTTTCAATGTCACGCAGTGTATAATATATTTTATAGCTCAAAATATCTAAAATGTTTGTTTATTGTTTAATTTAAGTTTTTGATGAGATTATATATATATATACATTCAGCTACCAAACGTGCCACATTTTCAATGGTTTATTCAGTAGTTTTGGTGTGAAGAAAAGTAACGAACATCAATTTATATCTACTTATATAACTGCCTTATTCTGTCTGTGTGAAGTTCACTGTGTGAAGTTCATGGATAGAATTTGGTCAGAATGGATAAAATAAAAAAAGTGTCAAGGGATGGGAATCGAACCCACGACCTTCCGCTTACCGGGAAGATGCCATGACCACTAGGCTACCCTGGACATATTTTTCCGTTCATAAAGTTAATATATGATGCCAATATCTACTTATATATTTGCCTTATTCTGTCTGTTTGTCTGAAGCTTTGTCTGTTTGTCTGAAGCTTTGTCTGTTTGTCTGAAGCTCACGGATAGAATGCGCGCTCATTGGCTGTAGATACAATGTACTAGAGCGCCATCTGTTATCAAATTATAAAACTATTTTAGAGGCGTAATATTCTTTTTATTTTTTTTTATTATTTATTTATTGTTTTTTATTATTTTTTTTTTTTTATTTATTTATTTTTTTTTTTTTTTTTTTTTTTATTTTTTTTTTATTTTTTATTATTTTTTATTTTTTTTTATTTATTTTTATTTTTTATTTTTTTTTTTATTTATTTTTTATTTTATTTTTATTTTTTATTATTTTTTTATTTTTTTTATTTTATTTTTATTTTTTTTATTTTTTTTTTAATTTTTTTTTAATTTTTTTTTTTATTTTTTTATTTTTTTTATTTTTTTATTTTTATTTTTTTTTTATTTTATTTTATTTATTATTTTTATTTTTTTATTTTTTTTTATGTAAGTTTGCCTCTCATAAACCTGTCTATACAGACCACCCTGACTATAGCGACCACTCTAGACAACCCTGTTATCAGCTGCCTGTCTATACAGACCACCCTGTTTATAGCGGTCACCTTAGGCAACCCTGTTATCAGCAGTGTGATACATCCACCTGTCTATACAGACCACCCTGTCTATAGCGACCACTCTAGACAACCCTGTTATCAGCTGTGTGATACATCCACCTGTCTATACAGACCACCCTGTTAATAGCGACCACCCAAGTCAACGTTTTTAAAATATATTCGCACTCGGGTAAACCCCGGGCGTTGCCCGGGCCATTCGTCTAGTATATAATAATTGTATAAACGAATGCCAGACAAAATCACCGCGAATGTTTCTTTTTTTTTTTTAAGGCAATTATCGTTTTGCACAATTACTTAATCTTTTAAAATAAATAACAATACTTAAATGAAAATATGTTTCTTTAAATAAAATAAAATAAACTTTTAAATCGGTAACCTTTATGAGAACCTTTAAATATATATAAGTACCTTATAATTGTAACGAATAGTATTTTAATTAAAACATTTTAAAAACACACAGTTTGGAACGGGACGTTTCACAAGAGTGACATCCATGGCGCCAATTTATAATTGTAACGAATAGTATTTGAATTAAAACGTTTTTAAAATATACAGGGTGTATCAGGTAAATTGGGACTAACTTTGACAGTCCATAAAACAAAAACTACTTGAGATTAAAAACTTGTTTTTTTTTCATTACGTAGCCATATTCATGTAAAATGCAACAGTATATGTGTGCGCAGTGTAGTGATGAAGAGTAACCGAGAATTTGAAAATCGAGCTGCCATCATCGTTGCTCTGCGCGCCGGAAGGAGCCCCAAAGAGATAGTGGATTTTCTTAAGTTGCCCAAAACCACTATTTATCGTGTCAAGAAGCAGTTTGATGAGGCCGACAGTAACAAAGAGGGGATAGCTACAAGGAAAAAGCACTCGCGTCGATCAGACAGGGTAAGAGGCGAAGAATTTGTCAAAAATGTCAAGGAGAAGATTGATGGAAACCCTGGGAAGAGCATGAGGGCCATAGCCAAGGAAATGGACGTTGGCTCTATGACAATTGTCAGAACTATCCATGAGGACCTTGGTCTCAAGTCTTATGCCCTTCGGAAAGGTCAGTTGCTGACTGAGAATATGAAGAATAACAGAAAAGGAAAGGCTGCTGCCCTCCTCAACAACCTGAAACACGACTCTTTTGGCATGCTAAGGTTCTTCTCTGACAAAAGAACTTTGACGTGGACCAAAAGGTAAATCCCAGGAATGATCGCTGGATCTGTAAAGACCCCTCAGAGATACCTGTCGTGATGCACACGAAATTTCCTGCCTCCGTAATGGTCCTTGGCGTTATCAGCAGTGAAGGTGATGTCATGCCTCCTCATTTCTTTGAGAAGGGCCTTAGGATGAACGCTGACACCTACATCAATGTTCTGGAGACCGTTGTGAAGCCTTGGATGGACATGGTGGCCGCAGGAAGGAAGTATGTCTTCCAACAGGACTCAGCTCCAGCCCATAAGGCAAAAAAGACACAATCGTGGCTGACACTTAACGTCCCTAGTCACTGGGGTCCTGATATTTGGCCCCCTAATTCTCCAGATTGCAATCCCCTCGACTACTATGTATGGGGCGTTGTTGAGAGAGATGTCAACAAAGCTCCTCATACCACCATCCAGTCTGTCAAGAAAGCAGTTCACACGGTGATGACCCAAATGGACAAGGTCATCGTCGCCAAGGCCTGTGCTTCGTTCCGCACTCGCCTCGAGACTGTTGTAGCTAATAATGGAAACTACATTGAATAAATAAAAACTATATCCTTTTATCTACTACTGTGTCAAATTTCATTCGGATATTTTAATTTTTACTTGCAAAAAATTTCAGTTAAAATACCATCGTTGAAATTCCCAATTTACCTGGTACACCCTGTATACGCACTCGGGTAAAACCCGGGCGTTGCCCGGGCCATTCGTCTAGTTTACAATGGTTAAACCATTTGGTTTTCGACCACTAGGACCCGGGTTCGATTCCCGCATTGGACACTTTTTTCTGTTTAAAAAAAAATGCTCCAATGGCCCCCGATTCTTGCAAAAGTCCAACCCCACCAGCGAGTGCAAGTAACCAAACGGGGCTCTGGCATTTGTAAGTGCAAAGTCGAACTGCTTTTCACATGTGTAGACATGTGGTGCGCTTACAGTAAAAAGCAGTCGCTAACTACCCACCATGATTATCATGGCCTGTACCACGTGTACTAGGGATAAGCAAAAAAAAAAAAATAGATTCAGTATAGAGTGAATGTGTGTTCGTTAGGCAAAACTTTCCCTCGGGTAAAACTCGGGCAAAGCCGGGTACATTCGATCGTAGCATTATTAATAAAGAGAAAACGCAATTTTTAAAAAAAATATTTTGAAATGAATTTCTTTATTGGCGCTTAAAAGAAACAATATGAAATTATAGACTTCAAATTCTACTGATATATGATGACGCTTCAAAATAATGGTGCTGCCAGATGAAACAATGGAAAATAAACTAGCTGCGCCATCTTTATTAGAACCAGACGAATTTATTTATACTCCCAATATATCAGATCAATATGAAATATTTGAAGTAATTTATTTATTTGGTTAATCCAGGCTCCTGGAGCCTAGAGAAGTCGCCAACTTACCCGATTTAAATTAATATCATTAATAAAATAAATGAAAAATTAACAATTTATAACCATCGATTTGCCAAGCAATTACATGTGTAATAATTATAAAATTCAAATAATTTTATATTGACATCTATATGAATCTTTAAAAAAATCAGATATATAAAAATACATAATTTATTATAAAATACTAGCCGAATGACCTAGGCAACGCCCGGGTTTTACCCGATTAAATGTTTTTATTCAAATACTATTCGTTACAATTATAAATTGGCACCGTGGATGTCACTTTTGTGAAACGTCCCGCTCTAAACTTTGTGTGTTTTTAAAATATAAAAATAAATATGTAAATTTTCACAACGATATTTGAAAATTATATTATTTTGATTTTCAAATACTATTCGTTACAATTATAAATTGGCGCCGTGGATGTCACTCTTGTGAAACGTCCCGCTCCAAACTTTGTGTCTGAGAAGCTATATTTTTATAGAAAGATGATCTGGCTTTTGTTTTCTGCTCGAATGAATGTTTTTCTGTTAGAATTTTGTTCCTGCGTACAAAATAATGAACTGGTTTCACCCGTGGTCTCTGCTTTTTGGAATTTTTCCCGATATAATTTTGTATCTGATAATCAAACATGATACAGCAATATCGTCATCATCATTTTCTGACTAAAAATATATAGTTTTAATAATTCATTTATATATTTTTTAAAATAGCCTATCGTCTTCCCCGTATTTTTTAACCAATGTATGGAAATTTTGGTTTGAATTACTGAACTACTGCGAATTTGTATACCGGACATACAAACAAACATACAAACATTCATTTATATATATACTAGACGAATGACCCGGGCAACGCCCGGGTTTACACGATTAAATGTATTATTCAAACACATTAAACATAGCAAAATAAAACATAGCAAATATAGCAAGAGCGGTTATTTTAAACGGCGAATTATGTAAATATGTGAAATAGTTATAAATTAGAAAACCTGTAAATATAGTTAAGGACTTGCATTGTAATTAAGAAAAAGCTTCTCGTCTAGAACGCTAAAGCGACCTGCCGGCGGCGCGCGCCCGTTGGCTGCCGGCGAGCAAGTGACTTCCCGGCGCATGCGCGCGCACAGGGAAGTCACGTGCTCGCCGGGAGCCAACGGGCGCGCGCCGCCGGCAGATCGCCCGCGTTCTAGAGGGCGCTGCTCGTGAGCTAAGTAGAATAATTTGAATATATAGTTTTAATAATTGATTTATATATTTTTTAAAATAGCCTATCGTCATCCCCGTTATTTTTTACCTATGTATGGAAATTTTGGTTTGAATTAGTGAACTACTGCGAATTTGTATACAGGTCATACAAACCAACAAACCAACAGACAAACAGACAAACATACAAACATTCATTTTTATTTATATAGATATAGATATACACTTGGTTCTTTTTTTATGCGATAGATGCGTTCCAGGGGAATCCGCATAAAAAAAAATCGCACAAAAAAAGACATACATTTATATGTAAAATGATGGATACGTTCCATTTATTAAAAAAATCGCATAAAACCTAAATAATGTTTTAAAATGCACCAGAAATCGCATAAAAAAAGATTTATAAATAATAAGATTTAATTTTTTTCTCATCATATTTTAATAAATGGCACATATGTGTGTTAATAACAAAAACAAAACTTAATATGTAAAAAAAAACATAAACAAAACTTTATTTAAAATCATATTAAGAATGTTTTCATCATTATTCGCTGTCTGATAATGTGCGAACCCGTTTGTGGATTGGTGCAAGATCACTTTCATCACTTGAAGATAAAATTACGTGATCAGATCTACATGGTAATGCTTCTTTAGGAACTTCAGTGATTTTTTTTTTCTTTGACAAGGTAGTCAGTAATCAAACGCTGTGATGGCTTGACTAGTTCTTTGTAGAGTTCTCTGTAGCCAGACATACAAAATTTCAGATCACGTTGGAATTTTAAGGCGCGTTCTACATCATTATCATTTTGAATAAAAAAAGTTTCCAATTTACCGGAAAGTTGAAGGCCTTCCCGAAGTAATTTTTCGTCCAGTGGAGTAACATCTTCCAGTTCGCTATCTACACACTGTTTCGAAATCTTTAGTAGTATCTACCATACTTTCCAAAATATCATCATCATTTAGGGCTTCGTCCACAAGCAATTCTTCTATATCATGCTCGCCAAAATCATCAAAACCTTCCCCACCTATTTCCTTAGCAATTGAAATAATATCTGATGTTACTATTGCTGTTCTATTTGATTCATTTCTCTTTGATACGCATTCAGGCCAAGCAGCTTTCCAACATGCATTTAAAGTTTGTGATTTTATCTCGGCAATTGCTAACGCAACATGATCTACACAGTTCAAGATATTAAATTGTTTCCAAACTTCAGTAACTGTTATTGTATCGGATTCCAGTTTATCGAAAATGAATTGGAAAGTGAATTTTACATAATATTTTTTAAATGTTGAAATAATTCCCTGATCTAATGGTTGAATTAGGCTCGTTGTGTTTGGAGGGAAAAAACTACCTTTATATTTGGATGTTCTAAGTTTGGATGACCTGGTGCATTGTCACGAATTAATAAGATCTTAAATTCGAGACCCATCTCTTTCATATAATTTTCTACTTCGGGTACGAAGCATTTATTGAACCATTCAGTGAAAATAGCCGTTGTTACCCAGGCCTTCTTGTTTGCCATCCAATGTACGGGCAGTGTATTTAAGTCTTTTCCTTTTAATGCACGTGGTTTTAAAGATCGATTTACAAGCAGCGGTTTTAACATTCGATCGCCAGATGCATTGCTGCACAGCAATAAAGTAACTCGATCTTTAGCAGCTTTAAAACCACTGGCATTTTTTTTCGGACTTTGCAATGTAAGTACGGGTTGGCATTTTTTTCCAAAACAATCCTGTTTCATCAGCATTGAAGATTTGATGGGCACAATATCCTCCATCTTTAATAATTTTAGCCAACTTTTCAGGATATTTTCTAGCAGCTTCTTCATCTGCAGAAGCCACCTCACCTTTTATTTTTAGATTATGAAAAGAATGTCTTTTTATAAAACCAGTTAACCACCCTGTGCTGGCAGAGAATTGTGGATTACTTTCACGTGAAGATGTAGATGGCTCTGATTCTTTTAACTCCTTGTAAAATTTAAGGGCTTTCATCTTGATTAAATGTCCATCTAACGGAATTCTTTTTTGAGTTAAATCTTCAATCCAAATTACGAGAGCCTTTTCTGTTTTTTCTATTAAAGTGCCTCTTGAATATGATGAAATTTTAGAACTCACATTTGTACCAGATCTGACTGATCTTATTGCCGCTTCATTTTTTTATTGCTCTTATAGTAGATTCGCCTAAATAACGTTTACCTATTGCTATTGATCTTTCTCCTTTCGCCAAGCAATCGAGAATTATAATTTTGGTTTCTAGCGAAATTGCACTTCTTTTTTGTTTTTTATTATTGTCACACATTTTCTTTAAGAGGACTAAAAATTATAGAAAAAACTTAATGTACAATTACGCACTAAAATTATTCAAAAAAACTTACAATTCACTTGAGTAAATTTATCTTCCGGTTTTCGGTAGTAACCTTCTTTCACAAAGTTTTATTTTCTAATGCTTTCAATATGCAGGCTTTTTAAATTAGTTTCATACAAAAACAAAATGCAGCATAAAAACACGCAATTTTAACGAGGTATTTTTGTTTTTGTCTCTTTTGTTTTTAAGAACAAATCAAGAGAAAACATGTCAATAAAAGAAAAAAGAAATTTGTAACGGCAGCTGGCACGCCGGCGGGTTTTCAGTTTTGATTTCGGTTTTGCACGAGTTGTGTAAGACACCGGCAGGCGCGGAATAAAAGACATTGGAACTTCCCCTCTACTGTTTGTTGGATAACTTAACATACAACCAGGACGTTACAAAATTCTTTCTTTGTATTGATTGCGTAATAGTAGAGTTGTAGTTGTTATTCTTATTCGTTTTCAGAAAAAGTGAATCACCAAAAAAAAAATTTTCGAAATTCGAATAATTTTTTTTTCTTGCACCGCATAACTCCAAAACCGCATAAAAAAAAACCGCATAAAAAGAGAACGAAGTGTATATTTTCAAATAAAAACAATTAATATACTCGCATGGACAAAAGGAACCTATACCTTTTATCATGTATATCGGGATTCATACAATAACTCTGAAAGATATTTGATACACAGTGACCTTATTGAAGACATATGAGATAACCAAGTGTGGAAAAAATTGCCTCCGTCTCCTTAAAAAAAAAATATATATATATATATATATATATATATAGAAAAACGGCAACATTATAGAGTTTCCACTTCCTTAAGTTTTGTCCATGAG